CTATATTTCAATCTGACGACCCTGAATATTTTTAAAAGAATTCCCATTTGTTTTTGTATGTGTGATTACATGCAGAAATTCTGAAGTATGTGTGTACAAATCGATAAATCTGCCATTAAAAAGTCATGTACACGTTTTAAGGGTTGTTCCCCCTTACAGCAAAAAAAAAAAAAAATTCACACTTTATCATCTGCTTCCCCATGCTTAACTATAAACACGTTTGGCTGCCAATCAAATGTAAATAAATCAATTACACGTCAGAAAAACAAGACCCCATTGTTAAGAAATGTCTAATTTAATATTTTAGGTTATAAGTAAATAATATTTGTTCCAAATCAGATTAATTTAACTTTAAATTTGCTAATTTTCCTCAAATAACATTTCAGAAATATATATTTTATTTTTGCAAGATTGTTAAAACCGAGAATTAACTTTTGTTTACAAAGGAGTCAAAAATGGCCATTTTGATCGATTTTAATGAAAATAAAAAATCGATTCTGATCAATAATTTCAGAGTATTTTGCTAGTAAATTTTGGCTTTCAATTAAAACTTTAAAAATTCATTTTAAACCTTACGTATACCGAATTAGTGAAGGTACCTAAAACAGTCAGCTCAACATGGAATGATGATAGAAGAACCCAAAGTCCACCATGCAACTGCAGCGACTGCTATGTTTTTCCCCGCCCACATTTTATTCATCTGCGATTGGCTAATAAATCAATACTGCCTTTCTATAGGACAATTTAGCCATTGCAGTTGTTGCTTTGAATTTTTCAGTTTTGAACTTGCTTACTTTGTTTCATTAGTACAAATTTAGCGATTGGTCAAATTTTAACCAATCACATATTTTAGTGCAAAATTAACTTTTCCCACGGTTTCACTGGGAACCTATTTGTAGCTTTAAAGGAGGCGACGTTTTCTCAAGCCACCAGTAGAGTCCATTAAATTTCGCTGGTCAACACAAACCTATGACTTTACTCACAACATTTCAAACGCACACACAGACACAGAATTTTGTAATACATATCTCTCTGTGACTCAGCCAAGTTCAATCAACCAGGACTGTTGATTTCTCTAACACAACACACTTTCTGATCAATTGTATTCTTGTGTTATCTATTCTAACAGCAGACTTGTTCTAACATTGACTCATGAACATTTCTCTCTAAAGAGAACTTTCTTATGAACAATCAATTACAAATCAAAATACGGTGTAGGTATCTACATGAGATCGCTAAAAAAAAAAAAAAATCGCATAGTCTGATGAAAAAGACGTCAAACTTGACGAAAACAATTTTATCGCCAAAATGTTTATGTTACTATTAAGAGTAAAGAACAAAGTAATTTTTAATTATTTTTTTAAAATTTTCTGTCTTTATTACAACATTCTAACTTTCAATTGAAAAACTTGTTTCTCGTCATCACCGGAAGTCTCCGTAAAAATAACATAGCAAATTTTTTGTGCATTTTTTTCTTATGACACACATTAATTTTGAAAATCTTGAAAATAGAAATAATTGTCAGATTTTAATGAAACTTTCAGAAACTATTCAGGAATGATGGAAATTATTATAAATATGTTATTTTTTTTAAAGTCATTATAAAAATATATTTTTTTATATATATATTACACCCCCATAAATAAATTAATAAAAACTCTAAAAATTTATGGTCGAAGCACGCAAGTCATTATATTAGTTAAAAACACAAGGCTTTGAGGAAAGTAAATCATTTATTAAAGACATTTTTATGTTTAACGTTGTTATTTATAGATACAAGTATTTAAGCATGATAAACAGTATTAAATAACATTTACCGGCCTGAATGTCCGAGAAATTTTCATAGAAAATATTCGTTCTTTGACAGGATTCGAACCTGCATCCTATACGGAACCGTCATTTACGCTGACGTGCCTAACCTCTGGGCCACAAATAAATCTATAAATAACAACGTTAAACATAAAAATGTCTTTAATAAATAAATTGTCGGACCTTGTCCATTTCTTAATATATGACGTCATTTGTTTACATTTGATACGCCAGAGCAGTTATGAATGTACGAGATTCATGGAAGATTGAAGTTTATAAGCAGTAAATTCGACCTTGTCTACCGAAAGGTTCTTTGTGGCCCAGAGGTTAGGCACGTCAGCGTAAATGACGGTTCCGTATAGGATGCAGGTTTGAATCCTGTCAAAGAACGAACATTTTCTATGAAAATTTCTCGGACATTCAGGCCGGTAAATGTTATTTAATACTGTTTATCATAAACAGAGCATTTGCTTAAATACTTGTATCTATAAATAACAACGTTAAACATAAAAATGTCTTTAATAAATAAATTGTCGGACCTTGTCCATTTCTTAATATAAAGTAAATCATGTTTTATTTTTTAAAAACTGACCACGTAAACCTAAAATCAGCTCTGAATTGTAACATACAAAACCCAATAAAACAAAGATACTATTTAATTTTAAATGCTTTTAGTTGCTTTTATTTGTTTTTATCAATATGCATTATCTGAAGGCAAAAAACTTTTTCGATGAAAAATGAATTTTTAAATGAATTAATTGTTATTTATTTTATTATTTTTACATAAAGTTACTAAAAGTTGTTAAATATTCTAAAATTAGCGGTACTGGCGAATCCTATGTATAATGTTTTTTTTAGGTACCTGTATCTGTACAGATTATAAATAGCACAAGGTTTTTACAATCAACGAACCAGCAATGAGAATAATCTTTCTGTTCTTTACCCTATGTGTCGAAAAAAAAATGTTAAATCAAATGTACGGAGGCCCGGAAGAAACATGATCCAATAAAAACATCACGTGACTTGATTTGTACGGCACTGTTAACGGCCTTTACATTTATATAAAATTACTTTAAAAAAATTATAATAATTTCCATCATTCCTGAAAGTTTCATTAAAATCTGACAATTATTTCTATTTTTGCAAGATTTTCAAAATTAATGTGTGTCATAAGAAAAAAATGAACAAAAAATTTGCCATGTTATTTACTAAAGTTCCGGTGATGACGAGAAACAAGATTTTTCATTGATTGAAAAATTTTTCATTTGATTGAAAAATTTTCAATCAAAAGTTAAAACGTTCTAATAAAGACAGAAAAATTTAAAAAAATAATGAAAAATTACTTTGTTCTCTCCCCTTAATAGTAACATAAACATTTTGGTAATAAAATTCTGATTTCGTCAAATTTAAGGCCGTTTTTTCATGCTATGCCTACTTAAAAATAACGAGGTAAATAAGTTGTTAACGTAAAGATAAATTGTCACTTATGACCTTTCGTACTATAAATTTCCGCACGTAATATGTTAGTGCGTCATGAAAAACACGCACATGTCATTTGTCAATCAACACCGCAGTTCAGAACGGCTTTCTCCCATTTGAAAAAACATGTTTTCATCACAGAAAATAAGCAATCTTTGTTTCAAAATATACTAAATAAACTTTATAATTTGTAATTTTTTTTAAATTAGTTAAAAAAAAAATCATAATTGATTTTTTAAATAAATTTTAAACGGCAACATTCACTTTTGTAAACAAAAGTTAAAAAAACAGGAGATTATTGATCTTCTGTTGATTTTTCCGATTCAAAAAAATTGAAGATTTTTAACGAAAATCTTGGACGTGCTAGAAATTATTAAAAAAATTAAAAAAAAAAAAAACTTTGATCATGCCTCTTGATAATAACATTAACATTTATACGATAAAAAATTATTTTAATCAAATTTAAGGCCTTTTTTTATTCATGGTACGCTATTTTTTTATCGATCTCATGAACATACCTAGGTAAAAGGGAAGCAACTTTTTCTTTAATCTATACATTGAATACAAATTATTGTACATTTTGTTCTTGTATGTTATTTCAATACTTGTTGATTCACATTTGGAGTTTCGTTGTTTTCTTGAATCATTAATAATACAAAAGATATATGCGCCAAAGAACACGCGCCTCCCTGCCAAACTAGAAAGAGTAGAAATAGCAACAGCACAAGGTGTTTTCCCCGGTTATTAGACCATGGAAAGGTCTGCCTCTGGTCATCTGAGGACCTGAAACCTTGCTAAATTTTCGTTTGCAAAGCCAAGTTATGATGTGGAACTCATTTTCCTAATGATTACTTACTACTATTGATTGACTGCACAACAATAAAGAGCTGAGTAAACCTCAAAGATACTTCTTTAATTTTCATAATCTTCTTGCGGAACAAACTTCAAACATTGCTTGAATTTTTTCAGCAACATATTTGGAAACAGAATTTCCAGTGATTAAAAATACACACACCTTAAGGCTTAAGCCCCCAAAACACCAACACGGACGACTGAAATTATACGAAAATCATGCTTAGAAAGAATCAAAGTAAAATAGTTCCAGAAGAAAAGTTATTTATTTCATATTTTTATTATATGTTTATTTTATTTAATAATTAATCTTTCCAGAACTTGACCGCTGAAATATTGTACGTACGTACACATCGGAGAAATAAATGACTTGTGTGTTTGTTTTTTTTAGTGGAGAAATGCTTAATAACATTCATTTTATTATTAAATTTATTTTGTTTTTGTATTTTAATGAAAAATGCGGTAAAGAGTACGGTTACCGTTAAAAATGTTAAAAAAAATTACTTTTCTTATAGAAATTTTATTTTACCAAAATTTCGATCATTTCTTTAAGCATACTATTCAAAAAAAGTGATCGCAGTATGAAAAACATTATTTGCCATTTTCACGCGAAAAAAGAATTCGTAAAAAAGCTAATTATTTTGATTTTTTCATCGCTTTTTGAATTGTATAACTCTATTTCAAGCACATGACTAAAAATATTTAAAATTAAATAATCTTTTTAAAAAATAATAAAATTAAAATGTTATTAAAAATGAAAACTATAAAATAAATATATTGTTTTGATTAAATATCAATAAACATGATTATGTTTTCATCGTCATCTATTGAAAATCATTAGAAATTATAATTTAAAATACCTTAACAAAGAAGCCAGATCATTCAACGTAAGCGCCATGTTGCAAACTGAAATGATACGAAAATCATACTTAGAATCAGAATATTATTGTATGTATTGCTATACGAAGAAAACTGTTTTAAAAGGTGTTTTATTTTTTATGTTTATTTCTAATAATCATATATTTTATGCATTTTTCCAGAATTTGACCGTTGAAATATCATATGTACTTCCACAGCATCAAAGTACAGAGGAAATTTTGTTTTTAGTGACAACAGGCTTCATTGTTTTTTTACTGAACTTTTATTTTTAGTTAATGAAAAGCATGGTACTTCATGTGACCATGCCGTTTAAGAGCATAAAAAATAAAATATCAAGATTTTATACAGTTTTATCCATGAAACAGAAATCTATATTTTATTTGAGGAAATAACGATTGGACAGATGATGAGCTAGAGAAAAGTACCAAGGGCAATAAATACGGAATGACTAGAGATAATTAATTTATGATCGATGCTAAGTTTTTTGCCAACTTCACCTCGATTTACCTTACTAAACTACTATTGGCAGAAAAAGAAAAAAAGAAATATATTGACTTTAAGAGGCTCCAAGACTGGGTAGAGTTTGCATCTAGGAATTAAATTCTCTATATATTTTTCAACCAATAAAATCCCATCAGAAAGTTTGTTTGATAAGCGATAATAATTACTAGGACAAATACTGCTAATTTAAAATACTTGGCGGATATAGTTGTAGACTTACCACGTGTTATTTGTTAACCACTTAGAAAATAACAATAATAACATTCATCACTCCCGAAATTCGAAAAAAAAAAAAGATTTTCGCGAGCCAGTGTGAAATTATTTTACATTTCTAACTAATGAAAACCTTGAATTCAAAAAGTTCACACCTCTATGCGAAATTAGATTTTGGATCTCCTTTCTTTACAGATATAAATATAGAAGCTTCTCGGTGTTCAAAACAATTTCGGAGGTCTTTTTAGCTATACGCTACCACTTTTACATCAATGTCGATTTTCGTGCTAAAAGCGGATCACAGCTTCATACATGTTTCTGAAAACCTGAACTTCTCATTGGACAATAAATATTAAAATTATCTTGTGTATCTTCACGTACATTGTTCTCAATAAGCAACACAAAACATATCAGGCTCCAGACTGAGTTTTGTAAGGCGCTTTCTGAGTAGTTAACAAATATTAAAAAAACAATTTACCTGCTCACCACTACGTCCGAATAACATCAACTTAGTTTTTGACCTGACGAAAAAACAATGCTCTCAGGATCCAATCACGTGATTAAAAAACATATAAATTGAAGGTACGAGCGAACCCAGTCAGTGAAAATTTACGACGACTAGCATTTGCTAAACGAGTTCACGACGCTTGTATCATTACTGCAGCAAAGTACAAAGTTAGAATCTCAAGTTCTTTAACACGAAATAACATCGCTGGAATTCAAGCTAAAATATCAACGAAATAACTCACTCACCAATTTCTGCAACTTACTAAAAACTATTCAATTACGTTATTGAATCTGTTGGGGACGTGCAGAATTTGTTAATTATGTTAAAAAGAATCAGAAGGAATTTGAGTGACTTTCTGCATCCCCAAACAAATAGATAAACGAAATTTAAAATGCAATTGAAAAACGAGACATATTCAATTAGAAATCAATACAACATTTATATACAAATCAAACAATATACAGACAGGATAATTGATGTATGATGTGTAGGCGAAATGTGTATGCGGTTTCTTCAGATTTCAGAATGTCTCTCTTCGTAATTGTTCGTTCATTTGGAGTATTTTTTGTTTGTGTCGATATTTGCGATTGTTGATATTAAATGTCTTATAGAAAGAGTTTTTTAAGAGTGATCTACCTTTAACTGTAATATTTTTCTAAGGTCGTTCGTTCGTAGAGTTTACTTAAATAGCAGTAGTGAATTTGATTCACTTTAGATAAGCAAAGTTGAGAAATGATGTACACAGAGTTGATTGAATCTTGATCATATGAGTCAGCAATGTTATCTTTTTTTTCAGCAAAATTGTAGTTCGTAGTGACGTGGAGTATTTTGGAAAGTTCTCTGTTTTTGCGTGTTACTGACTGCATAAAGTTGGTAATTGTCTTTAACGTCTGGTCAGCAATGACTAAGACGGGAGTCGGTGAACGTTACATCTTGAAACTTGATAATTACTGCTCGGAAGGTTCACACGTTTTCTGTTTATATAATCACTGAGTGGCTCCCAGCATAAGAGCGGGAAAACAGCTTGGTCGCGTGCAGGCGGTTTAATTGGTCGGAACTGACCAATCAGCAAGCCAGATTGGAGGTGATTGACCAATGAATACTTGTTATGTTATATTTTCTGAAGGTAGAATTTGGCTTACTAGATAGGAAGAGTGTATTTCCTACAAAGAGGTAAGGCTGGTTGTGTTGTGGGAGATTCTACAAATCATACTAAACTTAAGTACAAACAATTACGAACAATACTTTCAACTACGAGCAACGAAAACAAATTAGACATTACGGAACATTCACTCCTCCAACTTCTTTGAACCTAAAAGTTTATCAACATATTTTCAGCTCCACAAGATTCTTTAAACTCTCTTTCAGTGAACATTTTGAACGACAAGATAATTCAGCTTTTTGTGAGCTCAGGTAAAAAAATATTTTATTAGTAAAGACTTTAGTCCAGTCAAAGGGAAGTAACTGTACGACGCAAACCCGGCTCTGCGCCCCCCTAACGCTACTCCAGCGCACCCGGCACACGCAGCACCGCAAACATCAGACGACACCCAAGCGACTCCTGTGCAGCAGACCAGATCCGGTAGGAGGGTCACTTTCCCTAAAGACCTTCATAAATATTATTATTATTAATTGATTAGCCGCTCCTTAGAAAGAGGACCTTGACCTTCACAACCCCTGATCTCGCAGATTTAAGACAAGCAACATGCGAGAAACCGGACCACTAGTCCAATATGGTTGAGTCCAAACCGTACCTCGTGAGCATCGTATTAGGCAGCGCTTTTTCAAACATCGAACAACATTGAGATTAAATTTGTGGTGGTGTTGTAAGATATGTTGGCTAGGGTCACCGTGAAATATAGCAATCAAGAAGGAAAGCTGTGTTCTTATAAACAACACCCCACATGAAATATGCACAGAATATATGAGAGAAATAAATCAAGCTCAATGAATATTAATAAAATATTGTATTAACAATGATAAATATCAACAATAAGTATAAAAAAAGTTGCTTCCCTTTCTCTGTAATAAAAAGAGTGAATGCAGCTAATTAATGTTGACTACAATATTGAATGTTATTGTTATTAACTATAAAGTTCAATTAATGTTCTTAGCTAACTGAAGAATAATTCCACAGTCTGTTTGTGAGTGTGAAAAGATGTAATGTACACAAGTGAGATCAATAGAAGTTAGTAAGTTTACTCGAATGAGTACTAATAACTAAGAATTAAAATGTTATCAGTAATATAGCGCTGTGCCGTATTTTCAGAGAATTGAACTGCTACAATATTTATTGTCGCAAATACAACAAATGTGGCACAAGGCCAAAAGGGGGTTGGGGGAAAAGGACGGTCATCACTTGTCTTAATATAAAACTTAGCTACTGACCTAAACATACGAAACAATATTCCTATCACCAAAACAACACAATTATCTATACCTTTCATACTACATCCACCAAAATACCTCTTCGTCTCAATGAAAAACCTAAATAGTCCCCTTATGTACAAATATTGTTCGTGGGGGGAGGGGCATAAAAAACAACAATTTTTAAAAGATCCCCAATGCGTATATACAATATGACATAAAATATTTACAAGAAACTAAACAAAAAGGGAGTAATAAAAAACTCCCACAAACCTTAAATGTGGCAGAAATATCAGTTAACAGGACGAAATCGATGCGGGACTATGCAGAATAAAGAAAACATTCATACCTCCAAAGCATTCACACAGGCACATACACATTCATAACAAATACGAAAAACACACACGCGAAACGTAGGGCGCCTCGCATCCACCAGAAAACTGACATCACTGACCACTTAAACGAGGGAGGGGAAGGGGAGTTAAAATAAAGGAAACAAATGGGGACAGAAATAAAAGGGGCCAATGAGCAAACACATCCTAGCTAAGTTTACCGAACAAAGAGAGAAAAAAAAAAATCAAAAAACAAAAACCTAAACTAGCCTAATTGTTGGGAAGGGTTGCCCATGTTCAACCCAGGAAAACAATATCCTGATGCCTAACCGGCATCAAAAATGCCACTCAAGTCAGCCCCTTTTACTCGACACAAGCGCGCAAGATTCACCCACCTTTTGCCAAATTCTGATGAGGGGAGCCGCCGCCTTTCTGTCCTAATCTTGACTTTAAAGTAAAGAACAAGATCAGTTGGGAAGAGGTGAACTTCTCGCCATCATAGAATTCCTTCTGACGCGTCGTCCAAATCACGACTCTCATAACCCCTAGTAAGCAACAGAACACATAGTGTTCAGCCTTCGTCAACTGCGGTACCACATTGCTACAGACAGATCTGGCTTCAAGGACAAAAAACTTTCCCTGCAGCATGCGAACCATGAGGCCTTCAACAAACTTGCACAACGGCACAACCGTCTTGCACTGAAAAATGGCGTGACCAATGGTCTCGACTTCCCCAGTACAGCGACGACAGTTTGGATATTTCTTCAAGCCTGCTGAACAAAGTCTCTTGGCGACCCAGAGGGCCCCACGAATCACCAGCAAGGTGAGTGATGCCTCATGGTTGTTGAGGCATTTCAACCCAGGCGCCCAAGGCAATATCGAGCGAGCCTCCTGCTTTGTAAGACCGAGCTCGCCAATCAGATCATCTTGAACGCCCCCCCCCCCTAACTAACAGTCGATACAATGCCTTACGAGACAACGCCTGGGCGTTGGAGAGGCCATCCGACGTCCGTAAGAGGAGTTTCAGAGCACGACGACATTCGCGGTAGAAGGAGCACTCGGCTCGGGGTGTACAACCGGCCTCCTTCTCGCACGAGT